AGGAATGCCAGGCAATAGCATTTTGATATAATTAGGAAGCAAAAGGGATAACTGGAGCACTGCGAAAATTGATATTAGAGGGAAAATCAATAAAAAGGAAGATGCACCTAGTGAAGAAAGTATCTTTAGAAATAAAATTAGCACTTCTAATCTTATATACCTAAAACTCACACAGGTTACTATGTGGAAAAGAGATCAAGGATTTGATCCATCTTCCTGTGAAATCAGCAGAAATAGAGTTGGGCCCCAAATGATGAAGTCCTCTGTGTATCAGTAGTATATTTATTAACCCTGAGAAACTCTGAGCAAGGTATCTCAGATAAGGTGCAGTTGACGTCCTGGGAAGATGATCTGGAAGGGGTCTATGTGCCATATAAATTCTGCCGAAGCCTTCAAAATGGGATATTTGTGATGCGCAGGACTTGTTGCTCTAGCTTTCTGCTCTGGGTTGTAATTCCCTATATGCTTTATCAGAGTGGTTGCTTGAGATTCACTCAATTTAGGTAGGAATAGGAGGTTAAATGTATTTGAGAGGAAAAATATCAGTCAAAGGGCTTTATTCTAGATGCACAACATCTTTATTAAATCATCTATCAACCATTTTGTTTAGCTTTTGAGAAATCCATTTAATGTAACAAGCAAATCAAAATGTGGCGGTGGCTTCAACAGTTGTTAGCACTTGAAACCAAGATAAAAAAAAAATACAGATGTCACAAGTAATTACTGCAGTTATTTGGCAATACAATGATTGTTTTCTTTAAACAACAAACTTTTTTTTCTCAAATAAATACAATCTGATCACACAGAAAACATAATAAACAGAACTACACAACAGCTTTTAAGTGGAAAAAAAAAATGTGTCCATTGAAAAGATCAACTTTTTAGAATGGCCCACAGAAAGAAACTTCAGAAAGTACTTTTTAGTGGGAACAAAATAAGTTAATAAAAAGAAACTGGTCACACATTTTTCCATTATATTACGTCATCTCATTAATACTCAGTCAGTAAATGTGTTCAGGTATTTGAGGAAGCAATGTCATCTAAATGGCATCTGAGGAGCGTATGCAATCAATTGCATTTACAGCTTGATTAATCAATTATACATCATTTTAAACGTATTTGCTACGAACCTAGTTTCATGTCTATTTAAGATTAAAACGATGTTTTCTGCATTTAGAGACATTTTCTTACTACTAGACTTTTTTCTTTCTTATGAGTAATTGTCTTATGGAATTTCAATATGTTTTAAGTATTGAAGTATAATCCTAAACACAGCAAATCGATTTTCAGTCCTGTGTTTAAACATGAAAATCATTTGGCAGCTGCCTGACTAAAATATCCTATGTCCCTCTTTAAAATGAATGTGAATGTAATCAGATGCTAAATCTCAGCCCAACTCCATGCGCCAGCTATTTATATTATGTCCTCTCCTATACGCATCTATAGGAATGTAATTTAAATGTAAATTCTGTGTTTTACCCAAGTTCACAGTAGTGTGTGTACAATTTACCACTACTCTACAGCATGTTGACATGAATTGCAGTTCATCTATATTTGAGTGTTCATAACCTACCATTGGTTCAACAGGGCAAGTCATTGTTGCTTTTAAACTATACATTTGAGAAGCAATGCCTCTAGGTCTCACAGCAAGGACTTCAATTAACTGCACAGAGAAGGATTTCCCAGAAAAGATAAACCTGAATTTCATCTAATATCAAGTTCATTTTGCATCCTGATTCAGAAACACACTTAAGTACTCTTCAATTAGCTTCCACTTAAATCCATGGGATATAAGCACCTACTGAAGTGCTTTTCTGAATCGTGGCCTTAAGGGCTCAGCACTGTCAGCTATAAAGTGTCTTTAATTCCCACGGAGGTCGATGGCAGTTGAGGGTAGAGAACACTTAGCAGGATCGCATCTTGCGTAGCATAGTCCCTAGCCCTTTGAAATTATGGGGATTTTTTCCATTTGCCTGAGTGGGCTTTGAATCAGGCCCTCCATTTGTAAGAACACTATATGACTGAATTAAAAAAAAGAAAACAAAAAAAGACTTCATTTCAATCAGCTGTCAGCTAGTTAAGGGGAAAGGCTGCATTGATGATGATGCTATATACAACTACAAACCCTCTTCAAAACAGATGCACTCTATACAAATCTAACAGCATCAGAGTCCCTAAGGTATTAATTCTAGGCTGGCACGATGCAAGCTAGATTTTTGTCTTCCCTTCCTCTCTTTCTTGCAAAATCACAACTCTTTGCTACAAAATGGTGCTCTGTTTGGTTACAGCAGATTTACTTCTAGTGCTCAGAATAGCCATAATAAAAAGCAATGAATGCCACAGAAACAGTTGGCTTTTTAAATTTTCTCAAATGACTTTCTAGAAATAACAGTTCGAACCTTCAGCTGCTGCATAAGGGCATCGGAGTCCAGCAGCCCATTGGGCTAGTGTGGTTAAGGCACAACAGTTTCTATAACCAAAAACACACAAGGGAGTGATGTGGCTGGAATGATGTCTAGCCATCTCCAACTCCCCTGATACCCATTCACATCTGGAAGGTGGACTTGAGCATGAAGCCAAAGCAAGGCTCAGGTTATTGAGCTATATAGCAAGGTGCCCTAATCACTTGGCTACCATGTCCCTCTGTAAATAGGCATAATCTGTTGATTTTCAACCAGCTGGAGGCCTGGCCCTAATAAGGAGTTGGCTATAGCTACCAGTGCACCCAATATAAAGGGAGCTTGTGAAAATGTAGCACCCTGTGTCTGCAGTAAAATGGCCACAAACAATGGACAAAATCATATATCGCTCAGTGCAATGGGAACAGTGTGTCCTCTGTCTGGCAGAGACGATGGTGTGACAGGTAGGATCTCAGACACGTCAGTGGAGCCTGCATGGGCAAAGGGGTATACCTGCATTTCTGAGTTGGCAGGATCAAGGCCTTTGGCTGTTGCAACCCCATCTGCTGCACTTAAGGGCAGGAGGTATAGGCAAAACATTTAGATAAAGGCCATACCACAGTGGATTCAGGGCTCCTGGAACCCAGCAAGCAATGGAGAAACCTTTGAATCGGTAAAATAGAAAAACGGATATAGAAATCTATCTAAGCCCATCTTTCACCCTTCTTGTGACTGCTGACCATCTCCACTTATCCGCAACTGCGCTTGACTTGGACTGCGTCTCTGATTCTCACGTTGTTTTTGATATGACCCCAAACCTGGAATTTCTAGTTTGCTCTTGCAAGATTTTCAGCCTCATTCTTTAACTAGCAGGCTGGATGAGAATCTAACGACTGAGTTACTCTGAGCTGAATGGAAGGGACTTGATCTGACTCCTGGGGAAGTCAAAGGAAAGACTGATGTTCGTTCCGGTCGGATCAGACCCATGCTCTTCCAGGACAAAACACAGAAGTGCTGTTGAATGCACAGCAATAAGTAGCAATGTGGACAAATGGGAAGCAGCGATGCTCCTTCTTCTGAACTTTCTAAATAAAAAACTTTTAAAGGAATGTGTAATTTATCCCCTTTTACATGATGCATTGAAATGGTTTTAAACTGAAAAAAACTGTATCTTATTGGCACCAGTTTCCTTAACTCAAAACCCCTAATACACAATAAAATACTCAAGGAAGTATTTTTGCTTCTTTTTTTTTTTTTACCTCAGATTCCTGGCACATGAAATTCAATGTGAGATCAGACTGCAATTGCCAAAATACTTTCCCAAACATCCAAAAATATACTTTTATAAGAAGAGAATAATTTTAAGATCTTTTCCCCCTTCTCAAACTGAACTCCTATTTTAAAATACTAACTATATGTAAGGATCAGTTACAATATTAAACATTTTATGCATATAAGTTTTGTTCCATACATATGACATGCTACTGTCTAAACAAATTTCTGTAATGGTGATTAATAAAGGTTGAATCTGAATAGCCTGTCACCAGTTTGCATACATGTTACCCAGCATACTATATTATATCTGGCAAGCCTGAAGCATGTAACAGTAAGCTATCCACATAATTAAATATACACCAATAGCCAAATTGTTTTTGGTTTGATTGTCATTTATTTATTTAATTTTAAATAAATGCCGTTGCAAGTTTGCAATGAGTACGCATGGACGAAAACAAGCAGTAAACACTCTTCAGAAGGTCTGTACATAGCCAAAATAGTTTAAATTATAATTAAAAATAAAAGTGACAGCAATATAACTGCACAGATATCAGTGCAGTGTCTTTCTGTCATATAAGTTATCTCCCTGACTTTTCAGTATACATCCCTGGTATAATAATGCATTTACGAATGTCCTACAAGGTATTACGTATACTGTGAGTGTATAAATAATGGACTATTGTTATGTTTCATGAAAATGTACATATTGCACAGAGTGAGCTATTTGTTGATTCAAGTTCTGTACAGTATTTGCTATACTTCTCTTGGTAAGCTCCATGTCATAAGCTAGTTGCTATTATTCTAGACCAAGCGTAGCTAATGCCGCTTGAATTCTGATCTTGCACTGAAGCCCAGAAGCCCAGATTTTATCTGTTTCAAGAAGGAAGGGAGTGGGCTTTTTTACTTTAGGTTAATGGGGTATGTCAAACATAAGGCTAAATCTGATTTCACTGAAGTTAACGTGATTTTTTTTTTTTTTTTTTTTTTTTTTTTTCCCCCTCATGGTCAAGCCTAAAAGCTTGGCAGGGCTTAAAAACCCTCAACCTAATAATATATATGGATAGAAAAAATAGACAGAATGATGTCCCAATTCTGAAAAAAGCATATGTTTTCCTGTGTGCCGAAGTCCAATTTAGTTCAATTTAAACATGATCTTAAGCACTGTCCTGAACTGGGGTCCAAAGTAACAAATGTTGTTTCAAAAAGTTTTAGGACTCTTATGCATAAGCCAGTCAAATTATTGGGAGTCGAAGACATTTTCTCTGGTAGCAGCTTATCCCATAACCGCCCACTTGCATCCTCCTCTGAAGCAGCTGGTGCTGGCCACTGCCAGAGACAGGATGCTGGACTAAAAGGATCACTGGTTTGATTTATGTTGGCAGTTCCTGTGCTTCAATGAGATCAAGATGTTAGCTCAGTATGAAAAAGTAGCATCCTAATGGGTCTAGTGTTTCAATTTCTTTATTACAATGAACTGCTTCTCCGCTCTGCTTTGTATTCCAGACAGATAGCACATAAACAGTAAAGAAAAGGAAGCAAAGTAATCAACCCGATCTGAATGTACAGCTTATCTTTTTGACCTTGTAATGATCCTCAGAGAAGACTGCTTAAGCTAGGGCTACGCGAAATATCCAGAAAGGAGTGAAATTCATGCCTGTGCAGATGTCCAGCTTCAGACCTCTGTGCATCAAGCAAGACCCTGTTTTGAGGTCTTCAGTGGAATTCAGTGGTTATGTGATGCTTACATTTTATGTACAGGAGTGAATTTTCAGGTATGGAAATCCGAAAGCCTTCACATCTGGAATAATGTTTATTTCATTCCCATTTTGAAAAAAAATGCTCCAGTTCTTTACTCAAAAATGGTCCTGTCATTTGTGTGTGAACTTAACCTCTTACCGCTTTGAGATTCAGACTTCTCTTTGGACACTGATCAACGTTGTACATCTTTATCTATCTTCAGGCATTTGCAACATGCCCACCAGTGTGATATCTAGGCACCTAACACAGTAAGGAACAGGAATAGTTCAAAGTTACCTACAAATGGCATGCTGAGCTCTGTTTCTTCTAGCTTGGTAGAATATCTTACAGAATGTGTTGAGTGTATAGGTATCCTGGGGGAACACAAAACTGCTATTTAGCACAATCTGGGGAAAGTGAAGAAGGTACCGATGTGGCCCAGAACAAAACTGCAAATATATTCTGCAAAATTTTGCAACTGAACCTCACTCCCAACCCCCAAAAGTTCACTATTTTCACAGTCCTAGTTGTTACTAACATCGTGCTGAAGGCAGTGAGAATTATTTGTTATCTGAGCTCAATTTTAAGATGGAAAAAATGCATCCAGGCTCTGCATTCTTGACCCAACAGAGATTCCCTGCAGTGCAAGCACCTGGATATACGCTCTTATATTCCTTCCATTAATTGAGCCCTTTCCTATTCACCTAAGTTTTTTATGAGATTTTTTTTTTTGCATGAATGCGACTGTACAGGAGATATGCTAGAACAGCTGAGTGATCCACCTAAAATGTTACAAATATATATTTTTTCCACTGTCAATAAGCACAAGATATAAGAGACATTCTCCAATGCTTAGAAAGGCCATTGTTTTGCTTGTTTGTTTAGCTTTGTCTATTCTTGCAATAAGGTCTCTCGCCAGTTAAAGCCTCCAGTCGGTCCGTGTGTGAGAGGGAGGATGGGGGGGTCTGTAAGTTGCCAAACCCCCGTATCTCCCAGTTCTTCGCAGGAACAGAAGCCCAAGTATGGAATCTGCATCAAGAGATATTGAAAGAAAATAGAAAGGCAGTGAGTAGTAATAGATCTGGAGCAAGGATGGGGTTCTCAAGAGGCATTACAATTTTCTCTCCAAAGTCACTTGGGCTCTCTGGAAAATTCAATTCAGAGTTCAGAAGATATTTACAATCTGATAGAGAGCAGGATTTGGGTGGGACTTTCAGATGCTGTTTGCAAAGTATATCTCTGCAGGCAAACTATCATCAGGCCAGACGATAACTTTGCAGATCTAACTTAGAGAGCTGCAGTAAGGAGTTGTGTGTGCACGTTGCAGGGAGCGGGGGAGTTTGTATAGATTGGCTAACACTATTCGCAGAAAAGCCAGTACAGCTGAGGGAGGGTGATCTGGATCCTATTCTAGCTTGCATGTCTTCGATGTGAGAGTCTTCTGCTACTAATCTCCATTTAATAGTGATAACAAGCAAGGCCGAAAAACAGATTTCCAGGTCTCAGGTTGTGCTTGCAGTGCTGAAACACAGACAACACTGCAACACACAGTCGAAGCGAGGCAAACATCTGTAAGTGGACAATGTTATTTTTCAAGTTACTTCCCTGAGTACACCAGGACTCTGAAGTGGCCTAAGAAGGGAAACTAAGATGCTACCGTCCCCAAAGCGTGTAATGCAATTGCAACATGCAGCCCTTTGTATGCTTGTATTTTGATCTTGTGTTATCTGTCACAAAAGTGACATGTAAGATGAGCTTCTTAAGCCAATCTTTTCCACTTGCATAATTTCCTAAGTCTGTGAAACTCAGACAATGGGTTGAATTAACTGATACTGGGAACAAAGACTCCTCTGCCGTGTAAGGAGATTTAAATTATTATTTTAGTTTCATTAGCCGGAGAGCTTTGCCCGTTGGTTTTAATTACCTTTCTGACCATCTGTACAAAGTCCTTGGAATTCTGAGGCGAGAGCCCCTGGAGTTGGCAAGTACAAGCCTCAAGAGATGATGCATGGGCCACTATCAAAATGTTATTTCCTGCAAGAAAATGAATAAACACAGTGTTTGGGGTACATTTGCATTCGGGAGGAGGGGGAGAAAAAGCAGCTGTCCAAGGTCAATCCAGTCTATTTATGTCTCTTAACCATGTTTAATGTCATTATATAATGATGCAGTTTGTATATATGGAAAATATTGCTTATTAAAAATACTTGAGGCATTTTTAATGAAGTGCATATGGCTGGAGGGGGTTGCAAATTCTTTGCTACTTTTTGAAGAAAACAAACATTTGAGAAGGGGATTTCATTTGTATTGCGTGTTTTTATTTTCAATTAAACCTCTTTTGGTTTCTCTACTGTCTAAAAACCCATGATGAGTTTTGAACAAAAATGGAAGTTTTCCACTTCATTTTGAAATTTTTAATGGATAATACTTAACAGTATTACAACCGGACCTACTTGTGCTCAACATTTTTAAACCCAGGTGCCTGAAGGTTATTCAGCTACTTAGAAAATGCATCCTGTCAGAGCTGCTGAATGTCCCTATTGATTTCAATGTGCGTTTGGAGCACCTCCTGAAAAGCAAGTCCTTTTTATTCAGCTGGGTGGATATGTATCCAAGATTCTAATTTCAGGCATCCAGGCTTGACAATTGTAGCCTATATTCCTAATTCTTCAGATGCTGATACTCTTAAGAGAAGGAAAAGCAAACGGGAAGTGAGGTGCTGCATTAATCCAGGAACAGTGCCCAAAGCTTTCCTACCCAAAAGTGCTGTACACACAAGTGCTAATTATGCCTCCTACCCCTCTGAGGCATGTACTACCGTTATCTTTCAAACTGAAAAGCAGAGATGGAGATGACCAGGTAAAAATTGTAAACCTGACCAGGGATTTTGGATGCCTGACTGTTAAATTAACCCGAGATGTATTAAAAGGGTGGCTAATTTTCAGTTAGATATTCAATGCCTACGCTCTGAAAATCCGGCCCTTTTGAGGCATCTCAAGCTAGGCATGCAAAAATTGACAGACTTTAGCTGTTAGCATTTGGCCTCTGGGCAGTTCTACCTGCTTTCCTGGGACAATGATTTCTGAAAGGCTGTAGGAAGGATCAATACAACATAATTACTGACACGACTGGGATTTCTAGAAATATCCCATCCCAATGCTTTTCATGTTTGGCTCTATTCGCCCTTGTTTGTTTCAAGGTTGTATTTGGAGACTGCTCTGGCTCTGTCCCAATGCAGATTGGGCTACTGCAGTAGTGATTTCAAGACTAAGCAAGAATGGGGCTTGCTAACAGCTGGGCTAGGGCATGCAGACTCCCCTTCTGCTTCTGCTGATTGAAATAGGAGAGTGGAAATATCGTGGTGGTGAGTTGCAGAGGAGACTGCGCAGCTTGTGTGGGCATTAGGACTCCTAAAACAGTTGCGTCTCAACAGGCACCTTGTTCTGATGTGCTTGTGGACATACCTGGTAATAAGAGAGAGCAGCATATTTGAAAAAAGTTGGGCCTGAAACAACACCTAGATCCATCTGGGTCCTGAACTGCCAGTGTCCTGGGAGCAGAGTGAGAATTAAATATGGGGTTTTGATTCAGATACCCAGGTGAATTAAGGATCCCAACTGCTGCGAAGAACCAGCTCCTTGTTTTTGATCCCTATGGAAGCATTATACAGCAGAAGCAGCACCACTTACCTTTGCCTTTACATTCACTGATGATTTCTTTTGTAACTTGGTAGCTTCTACCTATGTAGGTGTCATAAGACTCTGAAACCACTAACTTGCTGACAGGTATATGAGGTCTATGGGTAGAAAAACAACAATCGCAGTAAGTTGGAGAGAGCCTGAGCTGCGTGCTGAACAGGCAATACTGTTTGCTGTCAGTGATAGTAAGCTATGTGAACTGATAATTAGAGGGGAAATGAGATGCACTTACTTATCCTAGCATGTTACCATTGCAGGTGGAGATTATAGGAATATTTGGTTCTTTTTACGCTCTTTGGTAAGAAGACCTCAAAGCATTTTCTGATGGTTAAACTTCCCAGCACCCATGTGAAGTGTGCAGATGGGCAAAGCCCTGTGTTAGAGAGGCAAAACAAAACACCCAGACTGTGTCGTTCCTAAGTTATTTTTTTTTTTTCAAATTTATCATCATTAGAGTCCAGCTCTGCTAGTGCAGTCCTAGAGGCAGGGGTGGTATTTTTACTCTTGTAAGACACTGGGGGTCCTAGTCATGGATCTGCACCCTACAGTGCTAGGCACCATGCACCCGAGGAACAAAAAAACAGTCCCTGTCCCAAACAGCTTATGATTTAGGAATAAGGCAAGAGAAAACAGATGGATACAGACAGACTGAGTGCAAGGAAACCATGAGACAATACTGATCAGTGTGGATAAGCAAGACAATGGTGCTCTTAATCAGAGCGTTGTCTAGCTCTGCTCAGAGCAGCATTGCACGAAGGGGTGGTGGAAACACAAAACACTTCTGCTGTTTTGGAAATGTGCAGGACTACCTTGGTGAGAGAGATTAATGACCACCTTTGTGCAGGCAAAACCAGTGACTTACCCCAATGTCTGGGTAGCCAACAACTTTAATGGGAGTAGAGTGAGGGCCAAATATTAAGATGGGGGAGTGAAGAAGGAAAGAGGTGCAGAAGGTTGCATTTTCTATTCACTGGATACAAGGGAACGCCCCGTCTCTTCCCCGCTCCACCACCCAGTAGCCAGAAGAAACTCTCATTGGTGTCTGTGGGAATTACTCATCCTCTGTGGCAGAACACTATGGGCTCCAGTTTCCCTCACCATCAGACCACACAAGAATTGTTTTGTTTTGTTTTTTTTCTCACTAGAAAAATATACCTTATGTTCTTCCCAGAAGGCTTATGTTTCCAGAATGGGCTCTTTCTGTGGCCCAACTGCTTCGCTACGCCTTAGCAATATCCTTTTTGGAATAAGTACCGTCTAAGCATCTTGATTTAGGAACATTATGTATACTGACTATATATTTCCATAGAGTCAGAAAGTTTAATTTGCAGACAGGAAGGACCAAATACAAGCAGTCATATGGTATACTTAGACATGAAAGGATTCAAAGTGGTTTTTATGATGCTTTGGCTGCTTATTTCTAGTTGGTCATTCTAAAATAGAAAGTAACTCTGGTGTTAGGGCCTATGGTTTCTGGTGATATCACAAACCACAAAAAGCACCAGCAGAATAATTGCTCATCAAACCCGATGAGGTGGAATTCCCACGCGCAGAATTTACCACTTGGGAAGGCTTGTGTCTGATATCTGTTAGTGTACATCCCTCCCCTGATGCTTAAACTAATGGGTCATTGGTACAACAGCAGTGTCAGTCTGATTTCCCATAAGCAATGACACTGTCCTGACCAGAACTGTACAACCTTTCTGGATTCAGTTGCTGGGTGGGGATTCTCTAAACATGTCCAGTATTCATAAGTCTTAGAAGTGGGAAGACCTACAAGATCATCTTGCCTATTCCTTAGCCCCCTGTCAGATAAGTAGGGCTATTCTTGCAGGCTGCTTTATCTAGGCTTTTTTTTTTTTGCCCTTGAGCTGTTTACAGTGCTGATAAGCCAGCCCATGTGCTTGCATCCTGCTTCATATATGCTTCAAGCAGTAATTCCCTTTGTGCGAGGAAGAATTGTGTTCAGCCACAATTTGAACGTTAGCTAAAGGCAACAGCAGAAGCTGCTGGCATCATAACGAGGTATAAGAGAGGCCGTCCAGTCAGCATTAACAGCATGAGGTATGGGAGTACAGAGTCTAAGCCAGGCTCTGAGGCTAAGCTAAGGCCTTCTCTTCTATTATGGGCAGGAGACGGTACTGAAGAAAGAGGCTTTCTCTAACCAGGAGTTTTGCTTACAATGATACTGAAAGTTTTAAAAAATGTGAGGTCTGCATTTATTCCTGCGATCTTTAATATTCACTTTAGGTAACAGGCTTCTGAACTATTCAGAAAGAAGGCTGATTCTTCACATGGATACTTGGTACCTGAAAATGCCAAAGGTAGAGGTGAGAAATAGATGAGGGCCCTTGTAAGGAATTAACCATTAACCTACAGTTCTTGTTGAAGCTGACTGCTGTCCCAGATGCAACACGACAGTAGCACAGAAAGGAGGGACAAACAGGAAAATTAAATGCTGAGGACCTGTTATAAAATCATACTGCTCCAGGCACCTGGGGATCCAACCCTAAGAAAAGGAGGAGAGATCCAAGGGTGGATATTTTATACAGACAGGATTCTGGTGACCCAGCCCTCTGGACACATGGTGTTACAGGGCATTTGGTGCACCTGTCAAGGTAGAGGAAAAACTGCAGGAAAAAGCAGCCTACAGGTGTGGCATGGGCTAATTAAAAAGTCACCTGACCAGAAGAGGGCTGGGCTTGAGGCATATAAGCCCAGGGCCTGAGCTGGTCAAAGAGTTTAGCCCCAGGAGTGAGAGAGAAGAGCTCCTGGCAGCAGGGCTCTTTAGCAGAACAGAGCCTGGGGACATGGGAGACCTGAGAACAGAGATGGGTAAACCTATAGCCTAGGGAGGCAGGCTGGCCTGGGAAGAGAGAGGCCTGGAAACAGGGGTGATGAGCTCATAGCCTAGAGAAGGGCAAAGGCAGGGCACAGTAGACTGGGGCTAAAGCCTGTACCCTGGAGAGGTGGTTATCAGCAGGGCCTGGAAGACTGAAGGTCTCACCAGCCTAGGATCAGGGTCAGGGCCCAGAGATGGGGCAAAGGCTGAGCAGGGCCCCAGCCAGAGACTGGTGGGAACAGAGGAGCCCAGGAGTCTCTTCTGGCATAGCAGGGCTAGGGTCTGGAGAGGAGCCAAGGGCTAGGGCTCATAGCCACAAGCCAAGCAGATCAAGGAGCCCATAGCCCAGGAAGGGCACATCAGTATATCATCTGTGAGGCATAAGAGTGGGTATTGGGGACGATGGAGCCTGTATAATTAATCCTTAAGTCAATAACTATGGGCACCTGTGGCTATAAGAGTAAGACTAGGCTTGGAAAGATGTGGGGCTGCCTCCTTTTCCTCAGAACCTAATAGCATCAAGGTGTGGTGGATGAGTAAAGGGGAGAGTGTCCAAAGGGAGCCAGGTTGGCAAGGGTATCCCGGGCACTGGGGGCATCATGACCACCCTTGGGACAAGCACTTGCTATGCATGGGTAGTTCACAGCAGCATTAAGTGGTCATGTGCTGGCTGCGTGCTATGTAGTGTCAGGGCTATCTAAACTGGAAAGATGATAAAGGGAGCAGGAGTGAAAGGAAGATGATGATTCTCTTGTAAGGATACCATGATTTTTTTTTTTTTTTTTTTTGTGGATGAAAATGTGTTCCTCGGTATGCTGCAAAGTGCACAACTGAGGGCCTTTACCATGCAGTTAAACACACAGACACAGCTGAGGTTTCATCAGTGTTGCCCCTGGGTGTGACTAACCATGATTTAGCTCAGGCCATAAATTTCTGACCCAGGAAACTCAGTTAGTCAACCATGTCTTTGATTACCTTTAGAACAGAGATCAGCCTGGGCTGCACAGTTCAGACCCAGACCTCGCATCCCAAAGATCTGGAGAGGGGCAAGGACTGAGAGCTTAAACCTGGTCTAAGAAATGTCCCCCTTGGCCAGGCTCAGCTGCATTAACTGGGTGTCTGAGGACTCCACGGGAACCTGGCACAGGGGATGTAGCTGCACTCGGGCACTCCTGGAAGGTCCCAAGGCCTCTCTAATTTATTCTGGGAGCTGAGTCAGCTCCTAGGAGTTGCTGGAGTACAAGGGTGACCTATGGCTTGGCCAGACATGAGGGTACCTATATTACATGAGGGTAATATATTATCGAGCACCGTTCTTTGCTGCTACCTGTATGTTGTATCAACACTCAGATTGGCTGCTGCTAAATCCATTGGGGGTATCCAGGCAGGTAACGTGGTGCCAGAGACCCATTTTGTCCACTCGAACAAGCCTGGCTCTACTCGAATCTTCAGAGTGTTTTCTTGTTGCATACCTGAAAGAATAAACAATGGAATAGAAAATTTATGAAAGCAAGGAGGGAAAGGGGGTTTAAATTTGAGAGACTTTATTGCTAAAGTGTGATTTGGAAGCAGTTAATTTTTCTCTGAGTTGGGGCTGGTGGGATTGGTTGTGTGCAAACCAAGTATTTATTTGTGCTTGTAGTCAGCTGGCCATAAACAGGATCAGTATGTGCATCCTTACTGATGTGCTGCAAACTAAATCGATGCACCTAACTTGGCCTTGCTGTGTGCTTTGTTTGGAGCCCTGTTTGGACTGCAGCTTCCACATGCTCGAGGCGTTCAGAGGCAGCGAACGTGCTGCTGACACTGAGAAGCGGGTGTTGGCACCTCCCGCGCGCCTTATGCTACCAGTTGTAGTGCCAGGAGAGCTAACACATTTGCATTCACTTTTCAACCTAGTCTGGGAGTTGGCTTCATTCCTCAAGACCCCATGGAGTTTCTCCACTGCAGAAATAGTGCTAGTGATTTTCTGCAAACCAGCAGAGGGCACTCGTGCTTCTTGTATGTGAAAGAACGGCCAGGCGGCGTTAGGGAGGGTGGGAGGATCCTTCAGCAGACGGGTGTTGAACGCAAAATAAATACAAAAATGTTCATGGCAGACATTGGGGAGCAGGTGCTCCCCTCTACTAATTTGCTTATAACCGCCAAATACAACGTTCATGTGATTTCTATGCTGGTAGTGCCTAGATGCCGACATTCTACGTTACAGGAGCAGTGGCCATCATACCACATAGGAAAGAGAGCATTCCCCCTTCCAAAAGGGCTAGGACAGAGGCACCTATACTCGAGCTTACCCATAGCAATCAAGCCCAATTAATTCCTACCGATAGTTTAAATAATTGCAGAGAGCATTTACAGATACCTTTGCACATCCCTACTACCTCGGTCCTGTAATGCACCAAGCGCTGATACCTAGGTTCATAATCTAATCAGGGGCTGGTAATCGTTTTCAGGCCATGGGCTAGAACAACCCAGCTCCAGTCTGACATGGGGGAGAGGCAGAGCAGGGAGAAGAGGCAGCAGCATGGACCTAGCTCCCTGGCTACGGTGAGGCTCCTTGCTGTTCTGCTTGGGCATGGGCACAGGCATGGGCCCAGGCACAGTGAAGCCCGGTGTCTCTGTAGGCTGGATCTGGCCTGCAGGCCATATGTTGCCAACCTCTGATCCTAGGTCATTAGAATCTGTGATAACCAGAGCATGGGATACAGAAGCTGCCCTGGAAAGCAAAATTACCAATCTAGCTAGCCTGGTCTCCTGGCTTCAGTAATGGCTTCATATTGCACATGGCCTTGAAACATTGCTATTCCACTGTGTGAAGGGAAGGAGATCCATTCCTTGCATCAGCAGTGAATGGCCCAATGCATCGGTGCTTCTTGTAGCTTTATCTTTATAGCACATGGAGCAGGGTTGCTGTATTTGAGGCCTTTCATTAAACGAGTGGGATTTGGGAACTCCATTGCTGGTTCTCCTTTCTGGCTTCTTACCTTTAAGAATATTGTATGCTGTCTGTACACAACGCAGTGAGGGGGAACTGTAGATGTAGTCCACAATGGTGTTAGTCTCTAGCAGGGCTTCACCTGCAAGGAATATTTAATATTACTGCTGCAGATGTAATATCAGGATGCACGTAGAACACTTTATCGACCACATTTTATTTCAGCAGTATACTGTACTTTGCTGTATGTGCAGACATGAAACCAGAATATGTTTTCCTGTGGACTGAATTTCTGAGAACTTAGCAAGGAAATGTTCAAAAGACTCACAGTCATTTTGTTACCGGGATGGTGGCAGCCTGTTTCAAGAGAGATGCACATGTTCTGTTCTCTCCCAAAGACTTCTGCTCATTTTTGCAATTTTCCCTTTTGGATTGCCACCTCAGACTGAAATCAAATGGGTGCTCTTTGCTTTGTGTGTGGGGAAACCAAATTGGCTTGACTTTATTTTGTTTCATCTCTCCTGATGTAAATCAGGAACAACTCCACTTATCCCAAGAGGTCAAAATGTCACCATCGCTACATTAAGCTAGCTTCATTATGTTGGTGTAAAATCGGTGAAAGACTGATCAGAATTGGGCTCATTGTAATGGTTGCTTATATTAAAGCAGTGCCTAGAGAGTTCAAATGAATTTGGGACCCCAGTGCATTGGGTATCGTATGACAGCAAGCCTGTATAAAGTTTGCAGTAAAAATAAGGAAGGGAGAAGGAATCAACTACTGATCCCAATTTTATGTGTTTAATTGTAGCTGGGTCTGCAGCTCAAAGAGCTGCATGTGCGTGTGAAACTTGTTCTTCACAACACGGGTGACCCTGAGCTGCTATTGTGCTGTCCACGTCGGAGGACTGCTGCCGTGTGAAATAACAGCACCGGGATACTTCAAGGTCACGGTGGTGTTCCTGCGGTTTTGAACTTTTGCCTGCAGGTGGCAGGCGCGTGGTGATGATACGAACCAGTGGATTTCAGTAATGCATGGGTTACGCATGCAATTACGCACACAAAGAAAGCAGCAAATTAACCCTGCTGTTATATGTGTTGTGAGGTCAGGTTTTATTAGACTTCCCTGAGAAATGCCCCTGTAGCCTGATTGTCCTATCGTTGTGCCCTGATATACACTTATGTAAAAGGCCTACATTTTGTAAGGCAAGTAATAATGCTGCCGCAGTTTGTACGTGACCAAGCTGAGATGCCTTACAAGGGCCTGATGTTCTCTTGTGTGGAACGCACATCCTCCGAGACTTGCAGCCTTCAGAGGTGCCTCAAGTTGGATGCTATGGGTGCTTATACACATGCTCCGAGCGTGGGGGGGTGCTTTCATTAGAGGACCACTCTAGTTAAAGCACCACAGCGTCTCGTGTATCAGCATCACCACGCTTCAGCATGGAGGCAGGGGTGCGCCAACTAAAACTTCTTTGAGCTTTAGTTCAAGCACCCCTGTCACCTTTTTGAAGCACAGGGATGCTGATGCACAAGACGCAGAGGCTAGCTGGAGCACAGTAATTACCATGCTCCTGCAGACTCAACACATTAATCGAGTCTGCTCCGATGCGCTGCAGTTGCAGTGCACGTGAGCAGCCTCTGAGCTTGTGTGCAGGCACCCTGTAAGCTTGTGAACTATTGAAGGATTGCTCCTTGATTCAGCAAGCAACTCTCTTCCTCTCTCAAAAGCAGCATGCTGAAAGGCTATGAAGTAGGACAAGAAAACAACGGAGGGGAGATGTGTGAATGGACCTGGACTGCATTTCGGTAGAAACAGTGAAGCCTGCTAGGCAGATTAGAGCCTGTTTCTGCAGCAAACTACAGATCAAAGTTAAATTTGTCAAAATCAAGTTAATGGTGCATTTTGCATGAGGCAGGCATCGCGTTAACTGTAGTACTTTCACTATCATTACTGACAGCTACTGCTTTTGCAGGGTAGCAAATGTACAGGGTGTTTTGGAGTGTTATGCAGCTGCACTTGCAGCTGCTCGGATTTATGCCCTGCCTTTTCTGTAGCAATGGTAACTGAATGGGACTAGATTCTTTTTAGAGGAAGAAGTTTTCTAATGAGGGTGAAAATACTTGAAATTAGCCTCTGGTCCCTGATTCTGTATCACGCTTTCTCTTTCTTTTCTTGGCTATGTGGGAGGGAGACATCAAAGCTTCTAGGGCAAATTGTCTCTGCTGAGCAGAGCTTACCGACAAGTCTTGCTTGTGTACAACCGAGCACTGTGATTGGTGCATCTTTTTCATAATCCCTAAAACCACCGCTTCTTTGAGGTAAACTGTGAGGCGCGTTCAGGTTCGTTCGTATGTACCTTCCTATGAAGAGAAAGTTAGAAGCAGTTGCTGGAAATGATTAGATCAGAAAGCGGCCTTCCATACCACACCTATTGTTACCATGCCTCCATTCATAACTGTGTGCGCGGCAGAGCTGGGCATGAAACGGCTTTCTGGTGCTAGCAAAGCTTTTTTCAAATTGAAGATTTTTTTCAGTGCTGAATTAGGATAGCAAGTCCCAGTGTTTGCAAAAGGGCAATTGCAAATAAATAAGTTTGCAGGGTTGGCTTGATCAGAATGCATTATTCTGAGGATTTCAAAGCAAAAGTTCATTTGAGATTAAAAAAACAACAACAAAAAAAAACAAACCCCAATTTTTTGCTTCAAGAATGTCAAAACATCAAAATGCTTTGAAGGGAGAAATTTGCCAGCATCCAAGAGCACTTCCAGCTTCAATGAACCGGTGTTTTTCAATGAAAACAGATTCCATTGAAAATGCTCAAAAAGCTCTAATGCTACCTACATCCAGAATAACTCTGGTTATTTTACAACTATCAACAATACAAAGACTTGGCATACGCTAGGGAACTGCCTTAATTTCAACTCTGCGGCCACTGAACAGTGTTACTTTGCTGATGGAAGCCTGAGCATAGATGCAGCGAACGGCTCTATATCATTATTGCCCTGGTGCAATGATGACAGTTGTCCTGAGAGTTAAAGGCTATAGTGGCTTTTTCTTTCTGCCCAAGGGGATTGCGCTGAACCACTGGTGGCTGAAATCGGGGCAAACGTCTTGGTTCACAAATATAAATGATTACTGGGCAACAGACAACATGACGGTGAATAGACAAACCCAATGAGCGAGGAATCCTGGCAGGTTTCAATCATTCATAATTCCAGTTCTGGTAACCTGACTACCCAGTAGGAGGAGGTCTGCTGGGATTTCAAACTGCCCCTTTCCTAGCCAGAAACACCCTTGAAAGCACTGTTAAAACTGTAGCGCCACAAGTCCTTCCCAGTGAGTCGTGTTTCTGACACAATCCATCTAAACTCTTCTCAGGAAATTTCCACCACCCCCAAAATCTAGGAGTTAAGAGACCCTGCAACAACTGACTCACCTTTGGCATCAAAACATTGTGATAGCCAGTACTTTCCAAACACTACATCCATTCTCTCCCCATGCCGGCAGACAAAAAGGCACCGTTTCTGGGGCCCTGGCTGGCTGGTTACTCTCAGGGGCTGAAAGCAAAATGACAATATGTTTGGGCATCAAGTGCCTTTTCCACAAGTCCAGTTTACTAAAGAGATAAGGATAGGTCTCCCCTCTCATGACCTTAGGATAAAGATAGAGCACTTGTGTTTCCACTGAAGTCGCTGAATTCATACTTGGGTGAAACTTGGTGTTACAAAAAGGAGAGAATCGGGTCCTATCTAATCTTTGGTTAAATTGATGCTCTGAAGACTTAATGGGTGGTCCATAAGGTCCCCTTGTCAGCTGAGATTTCCAGCACAGCCAGAGGAGTTAGTTGTTGGACACTGACTGCTAGAGGTTTGCCATTAAAACCACATCCAACCTGTTCACGTGCGTGCATGTCCCCCAAGTGAGACCAAATTCCAGTCCCCGAGTACAGGCAGCATATTTCACTTGCAGGATAGGAGCTTTGGGTTTTCTTACAGATTCGTACTCTGCTGATTAAAAACAGGGTACGTAGGCAGGCAGAGCAGGAAGATGGCATGATGTAGGTATCTGCATTCAACACGCCAACTGCAAAGCCGGTCAGTCCAATATCAAGACCCCAGCAGCTGCTTATTAGCTTGTGGGGACAGCAAAGTCTTGCTGAATAGAGGCATTTCTTCTACAAACAAGGAACAGCAGAGGTACTGCTGGTGTAAGCTCTCCTTGGGTAGTCCTGTCTGGGAAGTTTCCCTCTCACCCACTTCAACAGTTCAGATCTTGGCTCCCCTGCTGTATGAATGGCTAGGTTGTGAGTGGGGAAACGTGTCTACTGGGAATGGGATCAAGAGCTGTTGGCACATGCCATCAAACAGCCATCGGATTGTAACAGCTTTCCAGAACTAGGCCTTCAAACCAGCAGTTCAGCAGAGAGTGGCTCTGCTTTGGGCAAGCCTCCTGCACTTTGAAATAGGCTGCCACTCCACTTGGTCAACTCGGCTACTACCCTATTTTAATCCATTGATTCTCAAAATAGTGGAGAAGAACCTGTATGGTTAGGTGGGGAGAAGGAGGGGAGTGGTCCTGAGACTGTTTTCGGATGGAGCCATGGTACGGAAAAGGCTGAGAGACCATTTCTGGGGACCTGAGGATTTACTCAGCTGAAAAGGGGATGCAGACCTGAGCTTGCATGGAGGCTTTTTTTTTTTTTTTAAGTAAATGATTTAAATAACTATAAAAAGCTATCTACCAAGATTCTAGGTGCCCTACTTAATGCATACTGATTATAACTAATTACAAATCAATTGCTAATTAGTATCCAAAAGACTGATATTACCTAATTAATGCAATGAATACTACAACAAAATGGTTGCAGAAAACTGCTGCCATGGATCCTACCTGCATACTCTGACAGATGATAGTAAGTGGTCCTGTGTCCCCAGGTCCTTGGTCGTCTTGCTGTCTTCTCTCCAGAATCCCATCACTGAAGGCAAGAGTGGATGGGGAAGATGTATTCAGAATTGAGTAAGATCTGCCAAAAATAGAAAGACACTGGTTTGCAAAAGGAGTAAGGGTGGTTCCATACCTGGAAATGAGGGAAAGTTTATTTTTATTTATGATGAATGATTTCTGTTACTGTAGCCCTCTAGTCCCCTGTGCTAGACTATGCACACTCACTAAGAGAAAGCCCCAAACCCAAGAGCTTCAAAGCTCATTAGAAAACCAACAAAAAAAAATGTGGCAGGTGTCTTCATCCCACTTCATAGCACACGTAGTAACATGTTATGTTCACATGGCAATTTGTGCAATGGGGCTAATCTGATCCTGACTTTTAGTTGCCACTATAGCGCAGATGCTGTGTATAAATAACTTCCTGGTCAGTCAGACTCCTTTTTCAGGGTCCATTACAAATTGGATCCAGTAAATACAGCTGGAGAACATCTTGTTTTGAATCTTGCAAAATGGAGGATAAGCTGAAAACCAGTAACAGGCCGCAAGCTCTGAGGTGTGATTCTCATTTCAATTGCATCAGGGAAATGTGAGTGTGTCCCAGTTTTATTACTAGTGGAGGAGAGTGGTGATTCCCCTTAAGAAAGTCTCCCCCTTATTGGAAAATGGCATGCAAACCTAGATCACCATCTTGTATTCTGCTCCATCAGATGTGAGGATCTCCCACACAGCCTGGCTAGTGAAACAGGACTCCAATATTCCCATGCTTCCAGCATTGTCCATAGTTGTTCCCATCTGCACTGGACACAGTAGTTGTTTGTTCTGGCTAATGTTTCATTTTAAGTATAGGCAGGGGGACATAATAGATGGTTTTCTTCTTTCTCACCAAGCCTCTTCTGGTATGCTCTGGAGAAAGCCATCCTGACCAGATGTTCCAGGATTTGGACCAGAGTCCTCAGGAGCAACTCCTGGCAGACCGTTAGTGTCTCAACTAGCCCTTGATGGATTGTGACAGATTCTGCTGTACTGCTCCACCTTTGCTGAGTCATTACAGGGTATATTCCTGTAATATATGCGGTCATCTGCTTTGACTGAAATAGCTGCTTCTGCTTTGTACTTTGAATGCCTTAGATGCAGCAGGAGAAGTTTTTCAATTTGCTCCTTGTTACGATGGAATCTCCCAAGGGTCTTTCGGGCTTATATAATGCCAATGACTCTGACAATGAAAGAAAATAGGTTGTTCTGTGTTTGTTAATAGGCTGATCTTCCGCAGGACCTTATCCTTCTTGCCAGTAAAAAAAAAAATGTCAGTCTCAATGTCCCCTACCGCTGTGATGTTTGAATGCAGCTATGGGACAACGGTACCACGTTCCAGATATACTACATGCAGCTCAACTGAAACTTTTTAATGAGAGCAATGTGGGGTGTGAGGTGGGAGTTGTCATAGCACCATCTGTAGCACCCCTAAACTCACAGGAAGGTAGTGGTACCTCTACTGGTCATGTGCAAAAGGAGTCACAGCGGGGCTGCTAATAGGGTGCAGTCTTGAGGGCCACCTGAACCAACTTTTGAACCTCCTGCACTATCCTTCATACTTGAAGGAGGTGATACCCCCAGCTCTGAGCATCCTACAACCTGCTAGGTGAAGGCAAGGATTATTTCTTTCTGTTTTTAGTTACAGCTGGTTCTCCCAGGAGTTGGGCACATTCAAAAAACACTCCAGGAATTGTTCCTCTTTGAGGAGAACACAGTCTAGGGCCAGAGAGACAGACCGATAAGAGGTCAGGGAAAAAGGGAGCATACAATTTCTGTACAACCCAATTCACTGCATGCAGCACAGCATTAGTGGGTCTTTAAGAGGAACTAAACATGAGCATAGAAACTCTGTGGATACCCTCAGGACAGTCACACTGTGCGTGTGGGTTTAAGTTCAGACTCAGATTTGCAAGTGGCTGTCCTAACAAGGAGTTGTCCCAGAAGCCTGGATTTGAATATGCAAATTGCCTCTGGGTTTCATGTCTCTGATCCCTTTCCAAGTGCAGGTCAAATCTTAGCTTTTTGCCTTTAGCCCCTCAATAGCACAGTGGCTATACTGCCGAAAGACATAGACGACAACCTCCCTCTGGGATTGACAGCAGTGTATGATTTTGCCTATCCTCAGCTCAACTCCAAAAGATTGCTATCAGCAGTGGCTTTTAGATCAGACTACCTTGTTCACGTCATAGTTATGTGATGACGCTGGCCCAGGACACAGGATATAGATTTGTTTAGTCTCCTCCATTCCCTTCACCTTTGAGCAACTGCTTCATCATTTCCTAGAAATGTTTTCTCCATATATCCCAGCTTAAAGGGCAGGAGGCACCGTTGTATCCAGTCACAGATGCTGGGAATGGGTAAGAATAATAACAAGGCGAAAGCTTAACGACTTAAAATATCTTGCTATGGTTGGAGAAGTGCCATCAAGATGACTTCATTGGTGTCTCCCTCGTTCTGCATGTTACCGGAAAATAGAAACCATTGGAGCCATTTCAACACAGTCATCTTCCACACACAGGTTGTTGTTTGGAAGCTGTCATCAAAGGCTTCTGGTTTTTTGGCTAGGATGTTGGTGCAGAAAAATATCTTTTGAATGATACAGGATCTGCTCCTTGCTTTCCGCATGAAGTGAATGCCAGCCATGTCCACCACTTCCTTGAAGGCAAACATGACTTTTCCTATATTGTCATGGAAGGCTACTGCAGTTCTGTAAGGCAGGATTCAAGGAGGGGCCTTCATGATTCAAGAGGATGGTGCACCTGTGTGTGTGTATCTGGAGGTGGAGGGCACGGGGGTTTCTTTTATGTCCGCACTTGTTAGAGGAGGAGGAGGAAGTATGTACCCACCCAATGGATCCACCAGATACTGCAACTTGCAGAATGGGGGTCTAGAAGTGGAAGGAGCTACAGAGGTCCACATGCTGCAGTAGCGGCTACTGTCTTGGTCGTTCCTGGCCTCGTTCAGTAAGCTCCAGGTTTGGCCCAGGGGATGAGAAGGAAGGGATCCATAGTTTCTAGGGTCGGAAGGGACCTGAACAGATCATCAAGTCCGACCCCCTGCCCTGGGCAGGAATGAGTCCTGGGATCATAATATCCCAGCCAGATATTATGATCCCAGCACTCGTTCCTGCCCTGGGTGGGGAGGTTGGACTCAATGATCTGTTCGGGTCCCTTCTGACCCTAGAAACTATGAAACTATGGATCCCTTCCTTCTTATCCTCTGGGCCAAACCTGGAGCTTACTGAACGAGGCCAGCAGTGACTTGGCCTTTAAATAAAGGTTCCCTATAAAAAGGAAGCAGAAATAGGCACCTATGCAGTGTCTAAGGCAGCACTTCATAGACAAGAGACTGGGGAAGGAGAGTATTTCTGCTTTTACTGGGGAGAGAAAGCTCTCTAGTTGCACACTGACCAAAACCTCCAGCCCTAGCAGGCTCTACCAAAGGTGGTGCTGGGCCCACAGAAATAACAACAGGTGGTTTTCTACTGTGCTGTCCCTTTAAGCTCACATGGTGTCAAGTGCCTGATTTCTGTGGCTCCTGTTGGGCAAGGAGATGCACATAACTCGCTTTGCTGGGCTCTCCACTTCCCTTTAGCCTCAGACTGCTGCTTAGGGTAGAGAGCTTCTCACTCTGACTCAAAAGTCCACTAAATGACAGGCACAAATGGGTGCTTAGGGAATATCATGCTGACGATTTCCCTCCAGGAGGCATTACTTTTCTCTTTTCTCTTTTTGGAGCATTGCCTAGATTCATTGTTAGCTAGCCCAGCCTGAGAGTACTGGGGTGGGAGTGCAGGGGGTGGACACTATTGAGTAAAGCATAGGAGAAGCTCTTTGTTATTGGTTAGTAAAACATTTAAAGATCTGGATCTACTGAGGATCTGGCAATGGTCTTGGACCTGCTGTCTGCTTCACTGAAGCAATTTGGGATTCAACCGATAATTCTCCTTAGAGAGGGAGTGCTGCTGCTCTTTTCTTTACCCCCTGGCATGCCTAGCGTTTGCTTGTGGCATGTATGCCTGGGTGGAAAAACCTGCATTATTAAAGGGTTGAGGGGGCTCTGGCCCATGGGGTGTGGAAAATCTTGAGGAATTAGCAGCTAAGCAGCAGCTCCACTATCACCATGCAGCCACTGAATGAGGAGGATTCACCTCTGGAGCCTCCTCATATGCAACTCAGCTCTGCAAGCAGGGACTTCTCTCCCTCCACTCCTGTAAAAGATCCCTCTGTACTTTGTCTGGTGAGCTTGCTCTCCTCTATGATGGCCTCGTGGTCTTCAGACAGAAATGCCAGTTCTTTGGGACAAGATCCATCCTTTTGTTCTGTGTTTGTACACTGCATAGCACAGTGGAGTCCAGGTCCATGACTGGGGGCTCTCAGGTGCTTTCATAAAAGAAATCATTCAATAAAACTCTTGACAAACATGCATGCCTTGCTGAACTGAATCAGCCTCTTCAAGGTCTTACTTTCCCATATTAGTTGAGCAGGAAGGCATGTTTTCAGAGAAGACCTAAAAAAGTCAGGTTGTATATGGAGATCACTGATTTTATGTTGTATAAAAGCCCTTGTGGTATAGATTACCCACTGGAAGGCTGGGGGTTGTACCCTGGAGAGCTGTATTTCAATAGTCATATGTACAAGATGAACTTTGGGTATTCATTTGGGACAGTGTCTGCTGCAGAATCGTGAAATATATTCATTGTGATCAGCAGGGATGTACTCATGGTTGCTATCGCTTTTATCTGCAGGGATGCAACAAGTACTGCAAGAATTGCCCCATATTTCCCAACTGGAATCCAGGTATCGTAGTTGTGCCACTGATTTTAAACCGTGACAGAAGTGAACCGCCTTCCTGCATCTGAGCATCTCTGAAAGCCTGGCACCTGCATCTGAACTCAGTGAACTGTATTGCCATTTTTCTCCAGTGGCACCAGCACAGCACCTCAGTGAGTATTTCTATCTACAGTCATCTTCATTAACAACAATGAAACATAGGGACTGTGCACCTATACGGAAGGTCTTAATGTTAACTTATACGAAAGGTTTTCCAGTGGGTATGACAATCCCAACCATGTTACACTGCAATAGGCTGCAGCCTGGGAGTGAAGCTTAACTTGTTCCCTGTTTACTTTTTGTTTCCTAAATGGCATTTTGTAATCTAATATGAACTGTGGGAATCTGCTGGGTAAAACCGGGTTGTTTCCGGGTTTGTAGTCATGTTTTTGATAAATGTTCTATACTGCACGCTCTGATTCATTATTTATGTTTTTAATGGTAATCGGGGAACAGGCATTTCCTTTCTTCCCTTTCCTGGAGACGGAGCTACTGAAATTACTAAATGTTTTTGCTTCTCCTTCATTACTATTGCAACAATAATTTTTAAGGCATATGGGCCCAGGCAGGCACTTTAAGAAAAATGTAGCATAAAATAGGTCAGCCTGGTATAGTTTATCCCAAAGGGGAAAATATGACACAAAGTACAAATCCACTTTGGTTGGCATGCTTTTAGGAAAAAAGAATAGCCTTGCAGTGAAGGCCTGAAAGTGTGCTGTGGACCGTCTAGGTTTGGTTGTGACCTCTGCTACAGATACTCTGATTGACCTTGTTCAAGGCACTTAACTTCTCTAAGTCTAAGTAAAGAGGGCAGTTTTTCCCCTTATAAGGATGCTGAGGCTACTGTTGTGAGGTGTGGAAATACTATAGTGATGGTGATGCTAGTAAAATTCTTTGAGGTACCTAAAGGTCTGTCCCATTTGACTGACATGTACAAACTGTCCTTTGGTGGCACTTGTCTCGCAGTGAAAGCTTGGTAGCAGCTCAGAAAAGTACAGACTCAAGCAACAGCCCAGATGCCTGTAAAACGTGACCTGCGGGTGAAGCTTTATGCCTGTACCAGTACGGGCCTTTGGGCTGCGGGGCATTCAGACCTCTCAAGCCAGAGTTTGTTTGCAGAGATTAGCAATCATTTGCCTTGACATTTGGGTTCAAAGTTGCATGTGGAAACAAGTTATTGGCTGCACATCTGTTACTAACCACATCCAATCTGATTAAAACTGAAAAGGCCCTCTCGTGCTTTTCTGCTCTTTCATTTCTTGTGTTTCAATGAGGAAATCTCACCGGTCAGCATCTGTCTTTGTGTTTTGTCAGCTTCACCTTTCTGGCTCTTCTGGGCTAACACGGGGTCAAAAACGGATTGCTCCAGTCACTTTCCTGAGGTTGCTTTTGTATGTTCCCAGCCCTTCCTCTCAGCCTGACTAGGTGATACCTGTTTGCTCTGTACTGCCTGCTGCACCCCAGCAGCTGAATTCAGCCATCACTTCCTGGAACCAGCAGCTGAAATTGGCCCGAGCGTTGCTTACCCGTGAAACACCCAGGTCCCGCACTCATCTGCCTTGGTGATGTAATTCTCGGGCAGCAGCCCAGAACAGCCAGTTGCTAGGGAAGTGCCATAAATCCAGCCCTCGCTGGTACTAGTTTGCTCCACTGGGGACATGAAAATAAAATCCCCTGGTACCAGCTCGAGCTCGTCATCATTCTGCGGGGTGTAGGGGTAGATCACTTGCAGCGTCTGGGGAAGGAGAGCAGAGAGCACATGAGACGTGCAGATTTCTTTGGCAATGCAGAAAGACCAGCTCCTGGTCACCCCTTTCTCTGTTCACCACTGTCTACAGGAGTTAAAAATGAGGTTACAGAAATGAAGGATAGACATTATAAATGGCAAATCTTATGACACAAACACCTCACTCACTGAATGCTGCAAGACAGCTCCTTATGTGGCATGGCCTACTGCTTTGTCCAGTTCAGCTGTAAATGTCTGTAGCTAAGAGGTTGTTACTCTGGGGAACGTATTCAGATCTGTCTGTTGAGAAACTCATCTTGGTCTTCAGACTATTTCCCCATTTCTTCCCTTGGCTCTTAGTCATTGGGGCACCCTAAGGGTTTTCCCCTTCTTTGCACCCTGATTCAGTGAAACACTTAAGCACCTGCTTAACTTTAGGCATCCTACTGCTTGAACAGACCTCTTCCTACATGAAAAATTAAGCACGTGCTTAAGCATAGTACTGGATGAAGAACTAGATGTTCACACACTCCCGGTGATCATCTTCTGTATGTTTGCTTGTGTTTTAGCCGAAAGAGCATTCCTTTCTGCAGCGCCTTGGCTTTGAAAATGGAGCAGCAATGCTTTGTCACCACTGGGCCAGCAAACTGAAACATGTTATATGCCATTTTCAGAATTGTTCACAGGTACATGGAGAAAACAAATGTAAAGGTGATGAGAACTGTGCCACTCAGATCATCATATTTCTTAATTATTTCTTAAGATGAGTGGGGTCAGGTTTTGAGGTGGGTGGAGAATTAGTGAGTAATTATAATTCTACTTCTAACAGGCACCATGATGAACACACACTTTCCTATTTATTTGCTCATGCATGTGCGTGCGTGCATGCATGAGGTGTGCATATGCATGGTTTTGTGTGTGTGCATATGCTTTTATGCATGGTACTGTGCTTTTGCAGGCTATATAAGTACCTAATGTATATATAGGCCATCTAGACAGACATATGTAATGTATTTGATAAATACTGATATGATTGAATGCTCGTTTGTCTATAAGGACAAAGAGGACTCCGACTCACGATCTGGGTTTGACTGCCCTGCCAGAATTTGAGTAAATTGCTGAATCTCTGTAAAATCCTTCGTGCAGGACTGTGTTTGTACAGCACCAAGCACCACGGTGCCCTGATCTCAGTTTGGATCTTCTAAGTGCTGCACAATACAAACGAAAAAGAAGATGCTGCTATTCTGGTTGATTCAGGATAAGGCCAACAATTACCTCATGATTAACGAATCTTATATCTCTGGAGAATATTGCAGCAACCCAGTCACATCCTAGCTTGACATCGATGTTCTGTGCTAATTTCTCCAGAGTGGGCAAGTGGCTTGCTTGGAAGTGATAGGCCAGTGTCACATGCAGCTGTTTCTTATGGGGCTCCACATGGGCATCTGGAATAAGGCAAAAAAATCAGGTCAACAGTGAACAACTCTTAAGATAAACAGCAGTGTCCCTCCCCCATTTCAAAGGCATTAAAGCACTCGGCTTCCCAGCACAGGGCATTTGGCCAAACTTAAAAGTTAGCAAAGGAAAACATCTCTCTGCATTACTAATGCACCACTTACCTCAGTCTGAGCCTTAAGATTTAGATTAGAGAAGCAATGGGTAGTAGTGAAGACAGGGGTGCCTTATAAAACCATATGTTAACTTCGACTGGTTCAGTGTGGTAGGAGCTCTGGCCTTGAGCCGCTGCAGGCGGGAACTCTTACAGCCCCCAGCTATAAAGTTACTAGTCTGTTGATTCAAAAGAGGCTCCGGCATCTATGCTGAAGGTCCCCGTTTTGCTCCTGTTTCATGGCCAAGGCAGAAGTCACTGCCACTTACCATACTTCTAAAACACACGTTTTTGGGATTCAGAAGATTTGGGAGGTGGATTGGGATTGGGATTGGGCAGCTCCTGTAGTTTTAAGCCCCTCTTGGTTTTGCAAGGTGCTTTGGAAAATATAATTTTCTAGCTAAAGGTAATATTTTCCCTATATTAAGAGATGAAGAGCTCTCAGCAATAAGCAACTACATGTGCCTCTGTCTGTGGCATTGGCCTGATTTTCCAAAATGAGGTATGCTACAAACTCGCATCGAGCTTGTTGTGATAATGTTGTTGTATTTTCAGTAGTCCAGGGAATATGCCAGAAGTAATTTTTTTTGGAACTTATTCAGTACCTTTGAAAATCAGACCGTGTATTTTTTTCCCCCCCATTAAAACTGTTTCCTCCTGGCCCTGGGGAACTGCATGCAAGTGTCTCTGTATGCTGGCAATGTACTATTCTGACCACCTTTAAAAATTAGATTAGGGTATATTGGGCTTCAGCAGGGACCAAGTTCATGGGAACAGACTCCTGTGAGATATTGTGCTATTTTCTCACTGGACTCTGAGAACAGCCCGTCAGCCTCTGAACATATTTAGAAAAATAGGTGTTTGAAGCTAAAGGCCACTTCCTCCCTGTTTTAGGAGTGAGAGTGCTTCTAGGTCACTATCAAGTGAAACTGCTGGGGAGTCGAGATAGCCTGCATGCATTTAACTACAGCACATACGTGTCAGTTGTGGATATGAACTTGTGTCTGTTCTACCTGGCGTTGTGGAGTGCCAGATTAGCAGCAAAATCTTCCGTGGACTCAGACGTTATAATATCCCCATGCGTATGAAACCATTATTTTGATGCATTTTAATGCAGGTGTAAGACTGTGAACATCTAAGGCTATATATGTTGCTGCAACCAGCTGGCTGCAGCTGGGATGTGGGTGGGTGGGAGCTCATCAGGGAGCAGAGAGAGTTTTCTGAAACTTTCCTCTGGCTTTGGAGCTGTTCAGATGCAGCCAAGTGGCACTCCCTGGGGACCACACGCACAGCAACACGGGATTGTGAGAGCGTGCTCTGCCTGTCCTGTTCCCTGCACCAGGAGATAAAGGAATCGGTGTGACTGCTGCACTGCCTGTTGGTCACTCCCATGAGCCGTGAGACTAGAGGATTTAAGGTAGATTTTGAATCCTTTGTACTATCTGAGTGATGAAAAATGAGGTGAGCAGGCCAGAGAAGCTACTTCACAACCTGAGGTGGTAAATTTGCTAGAAGGATGCAGCAGGGGCGGTGGGGTTTCCTTGTACTTGTGGTGAAGCTTTTCACAAAGCTCTTGTCGGCCTTTCTGACAGAAGTTTAGTAAGGAAAGTCAACGGTCTCTCAATTATTGATGGGGAAAGTTTTGTGTCAGAGTAGCTTGAGGTGGTACGCCAGGCAGGAAATGCTAAGCCTCATAGACAAAGCGCCTATCTGAAAGGTTAAAGAACCACTAAATGTCAGCTTCCCTTTCAGGAGATAACACTTCAGAGCAAGTGTGATGTGCTCTTTAAATTGAAGACAGTAGACTCTATGAAGGAGCATTAACAAACACGGCACTCTGCGGGGTGCTCCTCTCTCAGGGTCTTTTGTGCCGGACACTCTTATTTAAAAATCAGATCCCATTTCTGTGAGTGTTATTTCTAGGCAGCATCAAAACGTTTGCATCTGAAAATGCTTCCTGAGTCAGAAAGCAAACAGGCCATGGAGGATGGCATCCTAAATTATAAGAGCCAAAGCTGAATGCCACAAAGGAAGGCAAAATATCCACTTTCCTTCCCCAGGTAGGACACTGTCCTACTATGTCTTAATGCCTTTCATTAAACCAGTACTGTATCCTTTGGCTCGTCACTATATAAAATATCATGTATACCAACTGTGATGGCTAGTGCTATCCAGTAAAAAGGAGCCACTTTGAGACAGCCATTATGGAATAAGTGAGGATCTTAATAAGATGTATGTGTCGTAGCTTTTGGTATCTTAAATTATAGTTATTCATTGGGCAAAGACTGCTGTGTGTCCTATACTGGTCATTTAAAAGGGCAGCCTTCACGATCAAACTCTTTTCTGGCATAAACGACATATCTTGACAGATGGGGAATGAAATCAATTATAAGAGAAGAATATTTTTTTGGAATGATAGGGCTGAATTTAGTGCAAATAAAAAGGTGCCACACTGAGAGGCATGTCCTGCGGCCAGTTCCTTACATGGTGACTTCAGATGACATGATCTGAAATCAGAAGGGATGCTGCCCAGGCAATTGCAAGGAAAATTGTTTCCAAGCCCCTCCATGAAAGTGCCTTGTACTTGACTAGGAAAGAATACTTCTGGGGGAAAAAGGGTCAGTCTATTTTCCCTACCCAACCTTAGCCCCTTCAAACTGGGCTGCTAATATTTTTAGCACTTGATACCTTCTGATGGGTTGTAAAGTAATTAATTAATTGGAATCTACTTGGCAGATTTGAACAGCAAAGCAGATGCACTTTACCAGGCCATACTAGGAACACTGAGCACTAACTGAGCTATGATGGTCAAACCTCTAGTAACCATCTTTGATATATCCTGGCTACTCGCCTGCTTTAGTCGCAGCTTCTGCAGCGAAGTCTGCAGCAAACTTCTTGAGGATCTCAGCACTCTCCTCCTTGACAAAAAGCCCAATGAAGTTTGAAGATGTGTAGAGCTCCAAAGGCAGAGGAGTGGGGAACTTGCATTTCCATCGCATCACGGTGGCCTGCAAGGCTTCAGTGAGTGCATCGACCTTACTGTCTTCACACTGCCAAGAAATTCAGGACAGATGTTTTGTTAGGTACAGAAAATTCATTCCTGAAGGTCTGAGCTCAGGGAAGAAAGAGTGGCCTTAAGAGATTCCCTTGAGCTTTATACAAGCACCAACATGTGTGTGCTCTCCTGTTAATTTGTCACATGGCTCACAGATTATCATTGGCACCTGGCACTCTCATCCCATTAGTGGTCTCATAAAATTAAAGATGTATCATTACTTCTCTGCAGATGCTATGGTGATGACATTAGAAATGCACGTGAAGATCATTTCGATGACACTGATGCTGGCCTGTGATTTAGTGCAAGGGACCCAGATACTAAACTCTACATCTCTCCCATGGTATGCCAGTGGCTTACTGCGTGACCACAGGCCAGACACATTCCTGTCTGTGCCTTGGTTCTCTTTTATGCAAAATGTGGATAATGCTATTTTCTGCCTCAGTGGGGGAACTGGGAGGCTTAATTAGTGCTTTAAACCGATTCCTGGATCTTTTAAGACTCCAGTACAAGGCATCGTCTCCTACTCTAGTCAAATATGGGCAAATAGATTTGTCAATGGACTCCTATGATCTCATTCTGTTAAGGGAGAGAGGCTCTTGTTTTTTCTTTATGGGATCAGGCATCGAGTGATTTAGAGAAATCATCTGATTCTTAAAAATACCAAGCCATTTGCAATGACTTCAGGCAAGATAAGCTATGTATCTCCTTAACAGGGCAGTGGTAGCTGACAAATAAGGTAAAAAGTCAATGTAATGAGAAGCACTGGCTTACCATAAAGAATTGGCAAAGGGTGATGTGTGGGAAGATATTGTGAGCTTTGTTCTTCCCACAGATCTGTTTTGATTGCTGCCAGAATTCAGAAAGCTTCTGCGACAAGGGGCCAGTAGGACGCAGGTAGAGGACGTACTCCCGAGGCAGGGGGTCATCAAGAAAGGGGTCACCCACATGAGAGAACAACCTGCGAGAAAGGGAGATATGAGACGATGTGGCTGTTTCAGAGGGACAGAAACTTTCCTTAAGAGATCACTTTAACCATGCCATGGCCCAGGTACCATTAGCAAGAAAAGCAGACATTGGAATGGGATGCAGGAGACCTGTTTGGGGTCCCTGGTTCTGCCAGAGCCTCTGTGTAACCTTCACTTGGCTCTAGATTTTCAAAGCAATTAGTGATTTTGGGTGCCCAGCTTGAAAATCATTTAAAGGACAGGTGTACAGCACTGAAAATCAAATCGGGTGCTTTTAAGCTTTCTCAAGACAGCACCCCAAAATTCAGATGCCCCAAAAATGTCACTATTCACTAAGCATCTAGGGTGTAAACTCACTTCTGTGCCTGAACTCCCCTTTCATAATGCAGGGGCAATACTTCTTTCTGGGACTGGGATTACGTGCTCTACTGGGGCTGTACCCGTGTCTGTCTTTGTGGCACCTTGTGAAATAGTGCACCAATTGTGCTGGTGTCCAGTAGTGTAACAGAGGTCGGGGGGGAGGGAACTGGGGTAACAGCCTTGGGTGCTAGCTTTGCACGCCCCCACCCCCAATAAAAACAGCTGCAACCACAGAGGCGGCTGATCACATCACTGATTGGCATCAGTCGCACGGCTTCCCAGGGCATGGAGCTGCCCTGCTATGCCTCTGCTCCTGTCCTCCAGGCACTACCATGATATGAATAAGTAACAAAGTTTCCCTAGAAAACATTTCGTGTTATAGTTGGCAAGCTACTTAAAAAAAAAAAAAATCTTATCCACTGACTTAATTTTTTTTTAACATGTATTACTTCATACCAACCAGTCGCATGCTGCTTGCACACTTCTTCCGCCTGTGGATGCCAGTGCTTTTTGCCTGAGGAGAGGGGAAAAGAATATTTTGTGATTCGTCTGAACAGGATTAGACTGAACTAGTAACATCTGCTCTGCAAAGTGAATGGTGCAGTTATCATTAACACCAGAGCCAAGGCCTGAGGGCCAGATTCTGCTTTAATTGTCACTGAATAGTGTCTGAATACCACCCCCTCCCCTCTTAAAATCCATGGCTCTACATGCAGAGTAAAACATGGGTGGATTAAAGTAATCCTTACTCATGGACTCACTCAGTGCACTGCTGTCACCTCACTATGTATTATGGTCTATTTTCCCTGCACCATGCTCTGGCCTGCAGTACTAGCGGTAGGGGCCATCCGCATAGAAGCAGTCTGCCGAGGGGTAGCAGGTCCCAGGCTGGAGGTTTTCCCTCTTTCTATGGCTACTCCCTTCTTCCAGGTGAGCTGTGTTCCTTGCCAGAGAAGGAATGACTCCGGCCCTCTGAACAGCAGCACCAGAGAGATCCTAACTGGCAAGAAGAAGGGAACAAGACTCTAGTCCTAACTGAATTGAGTGTCAGGTTTGTTCTCAGCAGTGGCAACAAGAAAAAAGGGGGAACGGAGAGCATTCTGTTAAGCAAAGTGACTTCTGTAAGGCAGTGAGGTGAGAGCAATGACAGAAATGTGCTGGACTGAGTGTGCGACTGTGAAAACCCATTCACACTGTTGCTAAGACTCTCCCTTGTGTGAGCCGGTCTTTAATGCCCTGGCTCCTGGAGTCACGTGAGAAGGTGAGAATGGATGTTCGTAGCCCTCTGGTTTTTAGAAAAAAGCTACAACCCAAATGCTCCCAGAAACAAGATGACAAAAAAGGAATTAAAAAAAATCTCATGATTGATTTTAGCCAAGCTCATGATTTTTAAGGGTCTGACTCAGGAATTTTGAAGGCAAAGCTGCTTTGACAGATTTCCTCTTTTCCAGACCCCCTTGTTGAGCAGACGTGTTCCATCTCCAGGCTTTCATTGTGAAAGGGCTGCACCAAGTTATTTATAAACGCAGGGGAATATGGTTTCCACTGCTTTCAAAAATGATTTCCTGCTTCCTGCTTAACCCCTGGCTGCTCTTCTGGCATAACACATGTCAAATCAACACCTTTTAAGAGCAGTGCTGATATTGAGGAGAAGGCGCATAGGATCTGGATTTACTCTACATGCCCTTTATTAGAGAGCCTTACAACAGAATAATAATAAGCCAGTTTTGTTGCCAAATTGGTTTCTGCACAAGGACACTGACCTCTGCTTTCTTACCATTTGGCCTGGAGTGCTTTGTGATCCTGGGACATCTTTATTTCAGACCCATTGGTACTAGGGGTTTAAAATGACCTACTTATCAGTTGCTTGCTCAACTAGAGAATCAAAAAGTTGGCTATAAAAGTGCAATTATCTTATTTAGTGTCCAGAAGAGCAGAGGAAGCCTATTACCACCAGGGGGAATAAAGGAAATACAGGGGTTTGGCCTGCAAGGGCCTTCAAAAATGGCTAGGTATGTTCAGTCCCTGGTAAATTGACTGCGTCTGTGCTCTGCTGTTCCCCTTATGCCTGCATCACTCTCCCTTTTTCTTTTAATTAACAAAGTTTAAATATATATGCATAGCCAAATCACTCCATTCCCTGAGCTGTCAGGAAAATACAGAAACAAAACAATCCACTGGCATTTAATGTATGGATATTGCACCTTTTTCTCAAAAAAAAAAAAAATTCCCAGATGGAGGACATGAAGTATGGAAATGCAGGTATTTTTGGACTGGTCAATTAAGCTCTGGGACTCACTGTTGCAAGACATCACTGAGGCTGAGATGCTGACATAATTGTGAATATTATAACTAGATTTGGAAAGGAGAGACACGCTAGTGCAGTGGTTCTCAACCTTTCTAGGTTCAAATCACCTCTTAGTTTTCACTTGTTTTTTGACAAGATGAAAATAATAGAATAATTCTTCTGTTGCAAAGAACTCAGAAAGACCACAGCAGAGCAGACTATCTTTAACACCATGGATTCCTATTTGAAATCGCTATGGCTCCCTGGCTGAGAATCAGTGCTGTAGTGTATCAAGGCATAAGCTGACTTTTCACAGTTGTAAGTCAGGAGGAAATTTATCCATAATTTCGCACGGCAAGGTGCCTTTCTCTGAAGCCACTGATGTTGCCTGCTGTTGGAGGCAGGGTATTGGACTGAATGGGCCATTGGTCCAATTCAGCATGGCGATTCCTGTGTTTTGCACAACAGCTGGAGATCAAAGAGCACAGGTAGGAAAAAGTCTGAATAGCACAGACACAAAACCAGAGCTCCTACCAAAAGCACCACATGCAGCAGAGACCGTGTCATTGTCCAAGGCTGCCTCCAGGTAACCCCATCGTTGGGACTCAGTGTAGCAGTCTCACAAAGATAGAGGTGTGGAGGGGATCCCACTGACATGTAAACCTCTAGTTCCAGGAGAGGATCTTTGCATTTGAAATGCAGGGTCTTAGGGAGATGGGGCCATCTCTCCCAGGACCACACACTAGAAACATCCTGACACAGCTGTAGCATCTGATGAAGGTAACCACTCTTTCACATCTTTAGGGAATACAAGCCTCAGACAATGACCACTATTATTTTCCAGATGTTCATTTTGTTTAAGCAGCTGCCTCCATTTCGTTCTATGGTAGGACAGAACTGTATTCTGTAAAAACTTGGCTAAAGACAGGAACATCTATTCAGTTGCTGGTTGCGTTCAGATGACCCTCAGTTTAACTATTGTACATTATTATGTTATGGCTTCTTGTAAAGCAAAAACTTCCTGACATCTTTAGGCCTGAATGATCGTGTACTGAGCTGAGGGTCAGGAAAGAACTATATGCGTTTTCCTCTGAGAGTACGGACAGTTGGATTTGATGGAGAAAATGGCTTGAAATGAATGTCAAGGGTTTGGGGTCAGGACTCCTGGCTCTGGGGTGGGTTCATCTTGGTGGTTAGAGGAAGTGAACGGATCACTAATTTTCAATCTTGGTTCTGCAAATGACGCTGTGTGATAAATTGGCCGTGCCTCAGTTTCCCTATCTACCCCTAGTGAGCATTTTTGAAAGGGCTCCAAACTCCTTTCAGGGAAAGCGCTTCAGTTGTGCAGAGTGCTGCCCACATGCTAGTACGGGCATGTACAAACGAGAGAGAATAAAGCCATTGACTCAACTGCATTCCAGCTCTTCCCAACCTCCCCATAAAAACACGCTCTTGTTTTGAAAAAGGAAGAGGAAGGAGCAAGACGGTGGCACAGAAAGGGCAGGGTTGCAAACATGTGATTGGGAAAACACTTCCAAGTCCTGTTGCTGATAGACAATTGCAGCATTCCCCTAACCTTGGCACCCTGCTGCAGCCTTCCCAGCACCTGACTTCTGGAAGAATGAGCCTTGCCTGCTAGACTGGCAGGTCTACCTGGGCGTGCTTTGTTTAATACAGCTGCGCGTGACTCAGACGCTGAAATGTCCACTGTTTTCTTTGGAAAAGAAATCTACAATCTGAGGTCTCTGGATGCACGGCTGGAGTTGGGAGTGAGGGGGTAGAGCCACAGGTGGTGAAAACTGCTGTACATCCACAAATCTCTGACCCTTTCTATTAACCAAGTTTCTAGCCCTCGAGTTTTGTTTCATCCACTCTAGTTATACCGCCACTGGCTATCCTAAACAGCTCCCCTCCCTTCTCTCTTTGGTTGTTTACTAGGGCTGTGCGAAACACCACTGTTACATGACGTCTGTTTTGCAGGGACACTGTTTAGTTTCGTTGTTTCGTTTCATTTCGAAGCACTGTCCTGTTTCGTTTAGTCAACACTGTTTCACTGTTTCGACTCATTTCGCCCATAGGCTATAACGGGGAATCATGAAAATGCCTAAAATGTTGTCATTTGTTGCCTGATTCGGATGCAAATTGCAGGGGTGGTAGCTCTTTCTGCAGGCATGAAGCCTGCCACGCTTCAAGGAGATAAGTGCAGAGGTTTCTTGGAAACTGCACCTCAAATCTTGAAAGCAAAATTTGCTGGTAGCGGCAGCCTCCTGTCATCCGACATGCAGATCCGGGGGCCTGCACCCCCAGGAGGGCTGCAGGGCTGTGCCGGACTCCTCCCAGGGCTGCGGGCCCCTGGATCTGCACCAGATGCCAGGCGGCTGCAGCTCCTGCCTGGGACCTGCGCTGGGCACAGCCTGCATCCAGCACTGGGCTCCACGGAGCTTAGCCCGATGGCGGGAGGTGGACTGCAGCTCTGGCTCTGCCCAGCTCGCGCCGTTGGGCTGCATTTCAATGGCCTCGGCCGGCCCCACGGAGCAGGCGGGAGATAGGCAGGGCTGGGGCTGCGCTCCCTACTAGGCTGAGCTACATGGGGCTGCAGAGCCGCGTGCCTCCCACCACCGGGCTGCTTTGAAACTCGAAACGTTTCGAGTGCCCTCATTTCATTTCGCAGCTGTTTCGATGCTTTTCGTTGCATTTAGATTTTGCTATTTTGAGCTCGAAACGCGTTGCCAAAACGAAACACTCGGCAAAATTTGCACAGCCCTACTGTTTACACCCTTTAAAATGCTACTGAGGCACGGCTCTTCAAACCACAGACCCTACCAGCTAATGCATCTATTTCTTTTGTTTCCACAGTACTGGATTGCCATTTACATTAAAAATTTACTCCCTGCAAAGTCCCGCTTGCTTTGAAATGAGCAATTTCTCCATTGCAGAGCAAAGGCAGACAAGCTGGCTCTCACTCATTATTTACTCTCGCCAGACCCCAGAGTAGATCTTTGAAGGAGTCATGCACAATGTAGCAGGACATACGGTGCTACCACCCACCTCTCATTGACTTGTTCTTTTAATGAATCTATGTTTTCTTGGAACCAACAGCACAAATACTGCTCTGCTGGAATTGATTGCAGCTCTCTCCCCGGTGCCTTTTGTACTCAAGGGATCTCAAAGGGCGTTAGGAAAACATCAGGCTGCGAGCAACGTACTCTTGTTTATGAGCTACTTCA